CAAAATCCATATTTGTCTACAGACAATTACCGTTTTAAACATGTTTCAAGTTTCTTGTTTTGAAAAGAAAACTACGTATGTTGCGAAAAAAAAAACACTATATAAACCCCACCCACCCACTCCGAACTCAATTGTGGTGAACTTAATTGCAAAATCCATATTTGTCTACAAATATTTACCATTTCAAATATGTTTGAAGTATGTATCTTGTTGTGAAAAAAGACTAAGTATATTAAGGAAAAAAAAGACTAAATAAGAAAAATAAAACGAGTTCCTATATATGTGCTGAGGAGACAAAATCAGATTTTATTTTCTTTTTTTCATTTTTGTGACAGCCTCCGGAAAAATCTCGGATTCTAAATACACAAGAAAAGAAAACTACACATACTAAGAAAAAAAAATCAAAAATAAAGCCCCACCCACCCGCCCGATCTCAATTTTGACGAATTTTTTATTTGATATGAGATCGAGGGGCGGAGCTTAAACGTAAAATCCATATGTTTGAGGCGTGATCATATTGTAGAAAAGACTATTATATAAAAAAATAGAGATTGAATATTCTTATTCTCTAAAGCAAAACGATACTTATGAGATTCATACTTAAAACAATTTCACATGGTAATTTCTTGTAGAGAAATCTGAACTTTGCACTTAAGCTCCGCCCCTCCGTCTCACGACGAATAAAAAAAGTAATCACAATTGAGATGGGGCGGGTGGGTGGGGCTTCTCCTTTGCCTTTCTCTTCGTAATCAATAAACTCTTCTTTCAACAGTAAAATACTTAAAATATGAAAGGGTGAATTTGAGATTAGAATAATGTTTTAAGTATCGTGTTGTTGAAAGAAAACTATATACATTAAGCGAAAGAAGGCAAAGGTTAAGCCCCACCCACCCGCCCTTATCCCATTTCTGATGAATTTTTCATTTGTTGTCAGTTTGAGGGGCGGAGCTTAATTGCAAAATCCATATTTGTCTACAGAAATTTACGAATTTAAATATGTTGAAGTATGTATTTTGTTGCGAAAAAAGACTAAGTATATTAAGAAAAAAAAAGACTAAATAAGAAAAATAAAACGAGTTCCTATGTGTGCTGAGGACACAAAATCAGATTTTATTTTTTTTTTTTTTCATTTTTGTGACAGCCTCCGGAAAAATCTCGGACTCTAAATACACAAGAAAAGAAAACTACACATACTAAGAAAAAAAAATCAAAAATAAAGCCCCACCCACCCGCCCGATCTCAATTGTGACGAATTTTTTATTTGATATGAGATCGAGGGGCGGAGCTTAAACGTAAAATCCATATGTTTGAGGCGTGATCATATTGTAGAAAAGACTATTATATAAAAAAATAGGGATTGAATATTCTTATTCTCAAAAGCAAAACGATACTTATGAGATTGATACTTAAAACATATTTCACATGGTAATTTCTTGTAGAGAAATCTGAGCTCTGCACTGAAGCTCCGCCCCCCCTCTCACGACGAATAAAAAAATTAATCACAATTGAGATGGGGCGGGTGGGTGGGGCTTCTCCTTTGCCTTTCTCTTCGTAATCAATAAACTCTTCTTTCAACAGTAAAATACTTAAAATATCAAAGGATGAATTTGAGATTAGAATAATGTTTTAAGTATCGTGTTGTTGAAAGAAAACTACATACATTAAGCGAAAGAAGACAAAGTTTAAGCCCCACCCACCCGCCCCTATCCCATTTCTGATGAATTTTTAATTTGTTTTCAGTTTGAGGGGCGGAGCTTAATTGCAAAATCCATATTTGTCTACAGAAATTTACCGTTTTAAACATGTTTTAAGTTTCTTGTTTTGAAAAGAAGACTTCGTATATTACGAAAAAAAAAAAAACAGAAAATATAAGCACCACCCACCCACCCCGATCTAAATTGTGCTGAATTTTTGTATGTATTTTGTTGTGAAAAAAGACTACGTATACAAAGAAAAAAAATAAAAATAGGAACAATAAAACGAGAATGGTGAATATGCATGGCTACACGGTCTTTTTTTAATTTGGCAAAATCATAATTCAGGACATGTACAGAAGAATGGGAACCTATAAAAATTCCAGAAAATAAATACAACACCGAAATTTCTGTTTTAAAGTGAACACAACCTGAAATTCTAATCTGTAAATATTTAACTCAACTTTTGGCTAAAAATAACATTATTTTGATGTTGCGCCCACCAGGATCAGACTGAATGTGTGGAGGCCGTAAAGCTAAAATTCCATTCAACAAATTTTCAGAATGTGCTTGAAAGTGGATTGTGATGTCATTTCGTGTCACACTAATGAACGTAGTTTCTTTCTATGTAATTGAAAATCTCGAAACGCCTTCGGTAGTCTCAATTACAATACCATCATCCTGTACACTTATTATTGACCGATATCGCATCTCACGTGGTTAATTTGAATCGAACCTTTTGAGGTCTGGGACCTAAGGGGTATTTTTGTAACAGCCTCCGGAAAAATCTCGGACTCCAAATACACAAGAAAAAAAAACTATCCATACTAAGGAAAAAAAAAGCCCCACCCACCCGCCCGATGTCAATTGTGACGAATTTTTTATTCGATATGAGATCGAGGGGCGGAGTTTAAATGCAAAATCCATATGTTGGAGGCGTGATCGTATTGTAGAAAAGACTGTTATGAGAAAAAACAGGGAATAAATATTCGTATTCTCTCAGAAGCAAAAAGATATGAGATTGATACTTAAAACACATCTTACATGGTAATTTCTTCTAGAAAGATATGACCTGTATTTAATTAAGCTCCGCCCCCCGCGTCACGATCAATAAAAAAATTAATCACAATTGAGATGGGGCGGGTGGGTGGGGCTTATCCTTTGTCTTTCATTTCGTAATATTACATAGTCGTCTTTCAATAGTAAAATACTTAAAATTTCAAAGGGTGAATTTCAGATCAGAATAATGTTGTTGAAAGAAAACTATATACATTAAGAAAAAGAAGTCAATGATTAAGCCCCACCCACCCGTCCCTATCCCATTTCTGATGAATTTTTGATTTGTTGTCAGACTGAGGGGCGGAGCTTAATTGCAAAATCCATATTTGTCTGCAGAAATTTACCGTTTTAAACATGTTTTAAGTTTCTTGTTTTGAACGGAAGACTTCGTATATTGCGAAAAAAAAAAAACAAAATATAAGCCCCATCCACCTGCCCCGATCTCAATTGTGGTGAATTTTTCATTTGTTGTGAGATCGAGGGGCGGAGCTTAATTGCAAAATCTATATTTGTATAGAAAAATTTACGATTTTAAATATGTTTGAAGTATGTATCTTGTTGTGAAAAAAGACCAAGTATATTAAGAAAAAAAAAGACTAAATAAAAAATAAAACGAGTTCCAATGTGCTGAGGAGGCAAAATCAAATTTTATTTTCTTTTAACACAAATGTCGCCATGGGTCGTTATCTGAACGTGCTAACTAGTGAGTGCAGTATCGAATGGGATATTTATTTACTGTCAAAAACTCTTGCGTTAAAATTTCTAGCTTCCGAAATGGATTGTGCTTCGAAAAGTGTCATTAAAGTTGTAAATTCCATCAAAGCTTACAGCTTATTTTAGAAAAAATGGTGAAAACATGGCTTCTTTATATGTAAATCGTCTTTATCGTACAAGTAAGATGGCTTTCGATGGGTGACGTCTTGAAAGAGTTTTCCAGTTGAAAGCAGAACTTTTGATGTACTTACAAGACGAGAAATCGGAATATGAGAATCTATTTGCCAATTCTCTTTGGTTTCTTAAGCTGGCGTTCCTTGCTGATATTTTCGAACACTTGAATATAGATTATTATTTCTCTAGTCAAAGATTTTTACTTTATTTATATGTTTAAGTTAAGTGTTGAGGCGTTATTTTTGTTTGATATGTTTTTATTTGCGTCCTGAAAGATTGCCCCCGTGGCACCACGTCTTATATATCACGAGACCCCGAAGGGATTTATCGCGTGGGACGTCGTTCCCTTGGTGTGGTGCGTGGATGGGAAGCTGTTCCGAAGGGATAATCACTTACGACATTTTTCCCTTGGCGCCTCTGTTCCCATATGTATTTTTGGGATGATTAATATTATTGGAGAAGATCAGTAAAACCGCCTCCGCTATAAAGGGGTGCTTGTACCCAGAAAGTGGCAACACGAGCGCCACCAAGTAGCTACTTGGTGGCGTTCGTGCTGTCACTAAGTGGCGACATCTCTCCAGGAAGCCAAATTAGTTGCGTTATGAGTCAATGTAAAAGTTGTCGTGACGCCCCCCCGTGGCACTCATTTCGATTCCCGCTGCATGCAAACAGCGCATTCTTTATGCATTCAAAGGCTTCACGTGTCGTAGCAAGGCTCATCAACACGTACACGACCAGCACGTTATCGCAGAATCCATCTCGTTATTAAACAAGCAGGTGAGTGCCTCACTTGAATACAGTTTTGTGTTTAACAAGCGTTTTTCTCCACCGACTGCGGCCTTTGTTGCTCGAGAGACCGTTAAATAATTCACTTCCGAAATTAGACGCTCATGATGCCCCAATCCTCCTGATCCGATTTTTAATTAGCGAGCTTCGACCCGGCTTACCTTTGAAGCTGCTCGTGTAATATCTTGTCGTAATTGTAGTTGGATGGGTGGGTCTGGGCCACTTCATTTCCTGGAGTGAAGCGTTAAGCTCCAGTCCACAATTTCCGTCTCGGTTGGTCGGTTAAGATATCCGCCGGCTTTGATGTATACCTGAGCCTTTAAGTACACGGTTTTTAACTCAATTATTGCAAATTCACGCGTGGGGAATTTCCTTAAGCGGCCTGTGAGGTCTCTACATCCGACTAATCCGTCGCCTTTTGCTCGACGACTAAATGAAACCAATTTGGACGGGTCGTGCAGCTTTCTACTTAATTTAAAGTCGCCGCGTTCTGCGTCATGAAAGCGATTAGGTTTTTTCGGGCATCATGTGTTGTTGCCGAGATTGGGACGTGACAAGATGGAGGGTACTCACCAATGACCGTAAGATTGATGGCAAAATTCCTGGTGGGTGTTGTGCGAAAGTCCACACGACAGCGGTAGATGCCCTCGTCGTTCAGGGTCACCTGGTCCAGGGTGAGGGCGGCCGGTTTTGACACTGTCACGAAGTAGGCCCGAGGGCCGAACACGTTGGGGTCCGACCAGTGGATCGCCTTGGTGAAGGGACGGCCGCGGACGTCAAAACTGAAACAAAACGACACCTATATAGCGACGAATTGAGGAAAACCTGACCCAACTCATTTAGTTATTATTTTTTTTTTATCAAATAAACGGGAAAATCATTGCCGCAAAAGGTATCAAATGCCTGCCAACACAGAAACCTCAGAGTCTCATATTCCAGGAGAAGCAGCTTCCAAACCAGTTAATTATTAATTAATAACAATGTTGCTACAGCATCACGCCGACAGGTGGCACCAGATACAAGTTTTCCCGCGCTTTGTAAGTTCAGCTTCTGTTAATATTAGTCGAGCTTGTAACGTAGAGCTTCGCATGTTATAATAAGAGTTATCGACGTGTACGTACATGACGAACGTGAGCCCCGAACACCATATTTGAGATTATTATCGAGAAAGTGCATCCTGTTATTAAACAAACATTACAAGTGCTTTGACTACCCTTACAAATTTAAATGTTAATTACACCAATATTTGCTCTATTGTGTTATTTTTTGCGGTGGTAATTTATACCATAACAAGCATAAATACGTTATTAGTGTCTGTAATGGTTAGCACAGTGTTTTGTGAGTAGCTTGCGGCAAGTATTACAATAATGGATGTAACATACGCTCTAATTGTTTTGTTATGAGAGAGAGAAATATTACTTTTACATGACATTCGTGGATTATTATAACTACATGGAGAGGATAAGATTTTGATGTGGGTTGTTGTACGTTACGTAATGTTTATTAAATCGTGTTTAAAACATCTTTAGCGCGATTAAATTCCGAAATTTGAATTGTTTAATGGAATATTTTATAACCTGAGTTGCGTATTAAAAATACGTTCGGTTAATGGGTGTTTATACATCGTGTACACTGCTTACAATAACACATTATTGCCATAATTTACGGAAAGTGTTGTGTTTAACTTGCTGAACTATGTGTACGAACTTAAGGCTGCCTATAGGCAAATCGATAACTTACTCTTATTTATTTGTGTTGTAGTTCAGTTAATTGCTACACCGTTGGTGTGTTGCTATTAATAATTTAATCGGTGGATATTTATCGTCGCTAGTGGAATTCGACAAGGTTTTGAATGGGAGCCTAAAAAAATCTCACGATTTTCACCTAGCGTTTCGACGATTTACAATTTTAATAATAATATTGAGAGTTAATGAATTACCGTAGAAGATTTGTCCTAACCCCGACTTAAGCGCGCTCGTTTAAGTTTACCCGGTTATTCAAATCTGTTTTAAAAGTTGTACATATTTTGCTTTTTGTTGTCTTTATACAAGACTTGAAGACATTCATAATTCTATCACGTAACCAGATGAGTCCATACGTGAATAGGTTGTCGAGTTTGTCTTGTTTATTTTGTCTTCTTTGTTTGCGAGTGTCCGTTGATTCAGTTAAGGTATTTGAATAAAAGAATACATTTTAGTTAATTGCTTTAAAATCCAGATAAATTGCTACGATGTAAGCATTAGCCGTAACAGTTTGTTGTGTTTTTGTTGGAGGTAGTTTTTACGTTCAATCCATGAACAAATTAAACTGCTGAACGCAGGCTTCTTCGACTTGTAGAAGTCATTTTGTTGTTTAATTTCGTCGAAAACTTCGACAGTGAGATTTTTCAAAATTTTCATTTTCATGAGAAATGACTTCCCGAAACCTACAAGAACATGTGTTTAGTTAAATTTCGAAAATCGTCGAAAATGGGTTGAAATTTTTGAAAAACTAATAAATTGTAGGCCGTTAAAAAACCGATAATCGTAATTTTTTGTTACACTGACTAGTTGCTAAACGATTTAGTTCTTATTTAAAAAGAAAAAAATAAGAGAAAGGGTGGGTGAGTGGGGCTAAGTTAAATTTTTTCTTACAGAGTCTTCTATAAGCAAGCAATAGCCCCGCCCACCCACCCCTATTTATTCCAGTGATCATTCATAATATTGTCATTTATCAAAATCAGCCTTATCTTAAGAAATACTATCCCCGCCCACCCGCCCTCTATTTTCTTAGAGGATAAGTTATTTACAAAAGTCAGTCCTATATTAACAGGTAATAACCCCGCCCATCCGCATTGTTCTCATCCTAACGATTTTATTTCTGTTTCAGTATCAGATCCATCTTTCATTCGGACTAGATAAAATGAGAGAACGGGTGGGTGGGCGGGGCTAAGTTTAACTTTTTTTTACTGAAGCTTTTATAAGCAAGCAATAGCCCCGCCCACCCACCCCTCTTCTTTTCAGTGATTACTCTTAATATTGTTCAGTCATTTATCAAAATCAGCCTTATCATAACACTTTTATTTTAAAAAGTGACACTTTTTCCCGATGTGCTAATTTCAAAAATAGAGCGTGTTTAGTGTCACTATGCACTATTTTTGAAATATTCGAACTGAGATTCGAGTTTTTTGAAATTTTTAAAGATTGTAATATTTCACTAGGCGATTCTGGAAAAACGGTTGGAGTTATCGAAGAAATGAGGTCGAAAGTGACTTCTGCGGGCCGAAATCTACAAGAAAATCTATTTAGTTAAATATATTGTTGCTTAAAGAAATTTATTTTGGTTATACACTTTTTCCCCAGTTAATTTGGGTTATCGAATTAACTGTATTTAAATATAACAAAATATTTCAAAAATTTTGGTCTGGGACCATCAACACGTTAAATTTTTTTATCAAAAATTTGAGGTCTTCATGATTTTTTAGTTAACTCTTCCAAAATCTCAATTTTTGAATTTTTGGCCGTTTCGTGACCACTTTCCTTGAAAATTATTACAAGTTTTCAGAATCGATAAAATTCAAAATTACAATTAAAAAAAAATATTTTCAAATCGAATATTCGAAAGTCTTGGTCTGGAACTGTCAACACTTTATGTTTTACCAATCAGTTCGAAAGATCTAAACGCCAACATTTTTTTGTGAAGTTTTGGTAAATTTTTGGAAAATCTCAACTTTTCAATTTTGAAATTTTCGACCGTTTCTCGAGTATTCCACGAAAATTACCTAAAGAGATTTTCTTATAATCTTGGACTTGTATAAATTATTTTCGTCTTCGTTTCTATGAAAATTCCTACAATTTTTCCAGAACCGATAAAACCAAAAATTACAATTTTCGAGATATTTAAAGAATAGATTTTTTAAAGTATTTCGAAAAAATTGGTCTGGGATCGTTACCACGTTACATTTTTCGGATTAGCAGTTCGAGATTTATATCCCAGAATGTTTTCTGAATTTTTAGGCAAGTTTTCTAAAATTCAATTCTTCAATTTTTGACCGTTCCCTGAGCACCCGTCGAAAATTACCTAAAGAGATTAATTATCATGCAGAATTCGAGATGGATAAGTTATTTTCAAGTTTAGTTCTGTGAAAATTCGTACAATATTTTCAGTAGCCATAAAATGAGAAATTACAATTTTTGAGATATTTAAAAGGTTTCATTTTCAAAACGAATATTTCAAAAATTTTGGTGTGGCTTCATCAACAAGTAATGTTTTCCAAATTAGCTCTATACGCGAGAATTGTTTGTGAATTTTTAGACGATTTTTTCAAAATTTCATTTCTTCAGTTTTTGAGAACTTATTTTCAGCTTCACTTCTTCCTATGTATTTTTTTTTTCAGAATCGATAAAATGAGAAATTAGAATTAAAAAATATATTTTCAAATCGAATATTCGAAAATCTTGGTCTGGAACTATCAACACGTTATGTTTTTCGAATCAGTTCGAGAGATCTAAACGCCAACAGTTTTTTGAATTTTTGGTTAATTTTTCCAAAATCTCAATTTTTCAGTTTTGAAATTTTCGACTGTTTCTCGAGCACCCCGGAAAATTACCTAAAGAGATTTTTTATAATCTTGGACTGATAGAAGTTATTTTCGTCTTCGTTTCTACGAAAATTCCTACAATTTTTCCAAAACCGATAAAACCAAAAGTTACAATTTTTGAGATATTTAAAGAACGCATTTTTTAAAGTATTTCGAAAAAATTGGTCTGGGATCGTTACCACGTTACGTTTTTCGAATTAGCAGTTCGAGGTTTATATCCCAGATTTTTTTTTGAATTTTTAGGCAAGTTTTCTAAATTTCAATTCTTCAATTTTTGACCGTTCCCTGAGCACCCATCGAAAATTACCTAAAGAGATTAATTATCATGCAGAATTCGAGATGAATAAGTTATTTTCAAGTTTAGTTCTGTGAAAATTCGTACAATATTTTCAGTAGCCATAAAATGAGAAATTACAAATTTTGAGATATTTAAAGGATTTCATTTTCAAAACGAATATTTCAAAAATGTTGGTGTGGTATCATCAACATGTAATCTTTCCAAATTAGCCCTATACGCTAGAATTGTTTGTAAATTTTTAGTCGATTTTTTTCAAAATTTCAATTTTTCAGTTTTTGACAGTTTCCCTAGCACCCGTCGAAAATTAGCTACTAAACAGATTAATTATCCTACAGACTTCGACTTGGAGAAGTTATTTTCAACTTTAGTTCTTTCTGTGAAAATTGGTGCAATATTTTGAGAGCGATAAAATGAGAAATTACAAATTTTCAGATATTTAAAAGATTTAATTTTCAAAACGAAAATTTAGAAAATTTTGGTGTGGCATCATCAACACATAATCTTTCCAAATTAGCTCTATACGCTGGAATCTTTTGTGAATTTTTAGTCGATTTTTTCAAAATTTCAATTTTTCAGTTTTTGACGGTTTCCCTAGCACCCGTCGAAAATTACCTAAAGAGATTAATTATCCTGCAGACTTCGACTTGGAGAAGTTATTTTCAACTTTAGTTCTGTGAAAATTGGTACAATATTTTCAGTAGCGATAAAATGAGAAATTACAATTTTTGGGATATTTAAAAGCTTTAATTTTCAAAACGAAAATTTCAAAAATTTTGGTGTGGCATCATCAACACGTAATCTTTCCAAATTAGCTCTATACGCTAGAATCTTGTGTGAATGTTTAGTCGATTTTTTCATAATTTCAATTTTTCAGTTTTTGACGGTTTCCCTCGCACCCGTCGAAA